TTTTTTTTCCTTTCCACGTTGAGAAAATGATTTTCCAGCCGTAGGAGGCTGAAGAAAAATGGCAGTTCTTCCTCATTCTCTCTATAGTCAGACTGCTCAAGGAAACTGTGAGGCAGATTGTTCAAGTCCCAACGGATGAAAAGTCGTTGGTGAAAATTAATTAATTAGCCCGGCCTGGTTGTTCAACGCGTCCTTCCGACCTGCTCCCTTAGTGCAGGAACGAATGGGAACATTGCTCGTGAATTATTGCCATATAGTGTTAATCATTTACGAAGCGAAGGAAGTTTCTTTTCAAATTAAGAATCCCGCGGTGTCTGCCTGCATTAAATATTCAGATAGGATCAACTCGATTCGCAGTCGACCACTATCTGTCAGGATCTATCGATCGCTAAGAGAAACCGATTGAAACGCGAATTGAAATATTGAAGAGGGAAACTATTTTCAAAAGTAGTTATTAATTTTAGGGAAAGAGATATTCGTCTACGCGCGACGATGTCTTTCAAAAATTTCAAATAAATGACTGTTGAAGATAATGCGCGATTTTTGAAGTGTCAAAAGATTTGAAGTTCATTAAACAGTTATTATCATCGTTGAAGATGATAGCGTCCATCGAGGACAAAAATACACACGCAAGTTTAATTAATAGCGTAGAATGCTTTTACTAAGTAGAACATCTATCAATGGGAATGACATTTTGCACACAATTACATTTAATTTGAGGAGACAGCAAAGACAAACTCTTTTATAATCATCGTCCACGTACGGTATTATTATACTTGCAATTAGAGGGATGCAACTCCGACTTTAACTTCTCTGTCATTATCCTTCCAATTTTGTAATTCGATCGTGAATCATTCTTTTTTTTCCTTAACATTGATAAAACTTTTACCGGTTTCATTTTCTAAACGGTAAATTAATCTTTCTATCGTTCGATCACTTCTTTTCAATTCATGTAGATTCAAACAAACAGATCCAGATGATTTGAAACAGAAATGTTTAATCGTTCGAATATCTACGACTGTCAAATTATAATGATAAATAATGAAATAGATTAGCAAAATATTAATATTACCAACGAGTGCGTATTAACACTTTCACAGATCCAGATGAAAGGAAACATTTTCAAAGGAGCGAGGAACGAGGAACGTTAAGGAACAAAGTTAATAATATCGTGTTGTTTTCTAACTACATTTTGCAACCTGTTCTCGTTTCAAGCGAAACGATACGACAAGGAATGGCGCAACCTTAGAAGTAGATTGCATTCTTCTGAGGAAGAATTTACAAATATGTACTACCCCTCGGCGATGTGCAATCAACTACCATATATTATATTCGACTGTTTATAACGAACGTGTTTAGATCAAAACGCGACAGCGATTTGAAATTTATGTCGATTCTCTTGCTAATCAGCGACGTGTACGACGTTTAAACGAAGGATTATCGAAACCTGTCCACGTACCTCTCAACATAATAATCCTCAAATTCATCTACTGAAATTAGACGAAAATTGGGACAATAATAATTTGTTTTGATTCCTCGACTTTCCTGCCATTTTCGTAATCAATGAAAACATAAATTCTACACTCGTTGCTAAAGATAAATCTTTCGACGTAATGATAATGACAAATTCGACAAGCCAATTCGTTCGTTTTGCTAGTTGACGTAAAATAACAAGATTAGGTAGAAGTTTGATCTAGAATGCTTAACTTGTAAATCCATTGACATTATCAAATTAATACTGTTATTTAGTAATTAAAAATTCATTTCGATCTCTCGATTGTACAAACTATGGGACTTTGGAGTTCACGTAACTCCACACTGTGACAACAACGTGAAACGTGACTTTTCGTGTTATCAGCACACGTGTAAATTGACAAATACGCAACCTATAACAAACGAGAGGCTGTAAAAACTCAAATATTAATAATTCCGGAAATAATTTCCACCGCAGGGACATT